AAAATCAACACTTCTTTTGGGGGCAGCTTCCCCACTTTGGGAACCAATGTTTTGTGCAAACATCAAGCCAGCCTGTGTCAGGTGGGCCTGACCTGGCCTCTCCTGGGGCACAAGGTAAGGGCAGCGCCACCCAGGCCGCCAGCCCTTCGGGGGCCTGACTTCAGCAGCCCAAGTCCCCCGGTCAGAGGTCCTCTCTGTCTTCATAGCTCTCTTCGCACTCTCAGCCCCATGAGGGCCACAGTCAGTGCCCCCATCCCCTGAAACTGACAACTCCTCGGGCTCAGCCTCTCTGACACCCACCCCATCCCCCCATGGACACAAGGTATCCAGAGTTTTCTGGACCATGTTTCCTATATTTGTAGGGCAGAGACCACCGTTTGCCTCTGGCTTCAGCCCGTTGCCCAGGGCTACTGGGGCATAAATGACAACGCAAATAACCTCGCGCCATTGACTCTGTCCTTCCTCCATATGAGGCACTCGTCAGTGCCTGTGTGTATGATGTCATACAGTCCTCCCAACAGCCCTGCAGGGTAGATGCCGTCATTCTTCCTGTTCTACAGACAAGAATCCCAAGGCTCAGAGAGGGTAAGCCAGTTAATCACGGCATCACAGCCAGCAAAGGGGCAGAGCTGAGATTTAAACCCATGACAGCAGAACCCATGTGGGCAAGAGCGAAGATTCTAGGAGGGGAAACGCGGTGAAGAAATGACTGCAGTACTGCTGAGTGCTCTGAGCACAGTTTGTGTGCCAGGTGCTGCTAAGTGGTTATCGCATCAAATCCTTGCCAGCCCCCTTCAAGGTAGGGGTCCTTGTCCCCATTTTACAAATGAGTAGAGTGAGGCTCCAGGGGGTCCATCAGTGTGCCCAAAGACACACGCCAGGTAAATGGAAGAGGCACTCTTTGCCTCTAAGCCTTTTTCCAGAGGTAAGAGGCCAGCCCCACTATTGTTCTCAGTATGGTGCATTTGGGGGGGGGGTCAGTCTTATTTAAGAAATATTTTCCTCTCCTCAAAGTGAGAAAGATATCCTAGATTTTCTCCTAAGAAGTGGATTTGTTTTGGGCGCCTGGGTGGCTCAGTTGGTTAAGCGACTGCCTTC